AACACCTGCTGGGCTTCAGTGGATTGCCAGTTTTGAGTTGCAAGGTGATATGGCTGGTGGCAATAAGACAAACCATTTTTTCAATCTTTCACTCACACTCACTAATGCGCAGACAGACCATATTTTCTATTCCAATGCTCACTGTGCTGTGTCTTTCAACAGCCTCCCTCATTAATGCGCACAGATACATCCACACAACAGTGCAGTCATCACTCTGTAAACCCCTGCAAAGGCCTGATTTACTCATCAAAAACAGTTACAAATAGTTGTCCTTGAAAATAGTCATATTATAAAAGTAGCTTTATATTCCGACGGCAAATGTTGAATATACAGAAACATTGGAGTCACTGGACTTTGTTCTGATACCATTTACATTAGCTGTCAGAGATGTACTGTACATGCAAGTCAGTTGAAACAACTCATTTTAAACAAACCTATATTTTAATTTAGTTTAGAACAAAACCTGGAGAAATACTGAGGAGAAAATACCACAATACTCATACCTCATGATTCTGCTCAACTCCACGGCCCCCATGCAAATGTAGCTGTCCCAAGCCAACCTGCATAAAGAAACAGAGAAAACATTTTCGTTTTAAAAGATAAAATTTCCAAGATGACACAGAATTCCTGACCTAGCTGAACATGACTCATTTTCCTATTTCACTTTATTCATTTGTATTTGTTTAATCAAGTGATTGATCTCAAATCTCCATGGACATATGCAGAGACAATAAGATTAAATGCATGTGCACTTGTTTCTTGTCTTGCAGTATACAAAAAGCAAAACACAAGGCACCTGACACCCGGAGAAGGCTCCACGGCCGAAATGTTGCGTTACTTTCGTTTTCCTTGTTCTTTTGCAGCCTTGTCATGCTGACGCAGCTACCTACTTTAACTACTTATATTTTTAAGATTATTAAGGATACCTTGGACAAGTACACCTCCAAAAACAAATAGATACATTCATATTTAGCAGCAAGAATAATAAATATTACTCCATAGATTTTTCTCCAAACATGCTGCATGGGCAGATACTATAAAGTGGGTAATACTACCATCTTCAACAGACTGTTACAATTTTCGACATCATTCATACATCAATACTATATAAGCAGCTCTAAAATGTATTTTTTAAATGTTTTCTTTTACAGCATTATTCTTACTGCTTAAATATTATTGATGATGTAACAGCAATATACCAAAATTCCTAACTGTAGATGCAAAACCACTTTAGATCAACCATTGTAACATTAACATCCAGCTCCCATGAACAATACAAGAAAATTAAAAAACTGGCAAAATAACCTGGAAAACTTCAATTCTAGAATGGAAATAAAAACCCAAACCTTAAGCTTCAAAGGGCAGATAGTTTCAGAAACCATGACCAGGTAAAAAATGAATACTGATGTCCAAATAATTATTAGCGGCCTTCAACAGAAGACTCTTCCATCCACCCACGGGGCGCACATTGGGGTACACCGTGCACAGGACACCAGTCCACTGCAGGGCACGCACAAACACAGACTCACACGCCAGGGCCGGTTTGCCCAGAAGCCAATGAACCTACCAGTATGATTTTGGACTATGAGAGTAGACCAGAGCACCCAAACGAAACCTGCGTGTACACAGGGAGAACACTCAAGCTCATTGTTTTAACCTTGCCAGGTCCAGATTTGACCCCAGGACCTCAGTGCTGTGCAGCAGAAATGCTAACTTCTGCGCCAACGTGAAGTCTCTTCCAAGCAGGAATTCAAGCTATATTACTGTTGTTGAAGACAGTCATATTAAACTCCCCATTGCTTTTGCCTGGAATCGTGCTTTACCAATGGAACTGAATTCCCTGAACTACCATGTGCTGTGTACCTGGGCTTGCACGTCCCCCTTCTCAGCCAGGAACTGGTAGTACTGGATGAGATCTTCCTCCAGCATCCCACTGGCGACTCCGGGGTTCTCCACCTCGTCCAGCAGGCGGACCCTCTGCACCACGCTGCCCCCCGTCAGGGAGATGTCACTGGCCACTGCAGGAGCACACACACATGACAAGCAGCCCGTCAGTGTTGTTCCCTGGAGGAAGGGGTCTGCAACACATTCCACCGTTTGCAAGTCCAAGGCCCGCGTTCAGTGCCAGCATGCACAGGAAAACACCCCTTTAAATCAGGGGAAAGGTCATTAAAATGTTGGGAAACTGAACACCTTACCATGGTTGGCCACCAGTCGGTAGTGGGTCAGGGCAGACTCACAGCTCTGAGGGACTCCTATCCCTCCCCAGTACCTGTAGCCCTACAACAACAAAGCAAGAACTATTGAGAATTTAGTCAAAAGGTAACCAAGTACAATGTTTCTATTTCAGCCTTTTTACACAGAAAGAATAAAAAATGTATAGTTATATTCTCAATATATAAGCCTTGCAATGGCACTTGGCCCGTGTTTCATGATGCAGTTTTTTTTCTACTGTATGTAAAATGAATGCTGCCTTATTGCTCAAAGCAAAGTCGTCCAGATTATGAGATGAATTACACAGTGAGAGAAAATGACACACACCCTGCAAGACTGGAATTGAGCTCCTTAAGGTATGTTACTCATATTTCCACTTTGCAAAAACACGTTTCGTTAGAATACAAAAAACAGCAGGATAATTGCATACCCAGTTGAAAGTGGGTCAACACCATGTATGTACATTATGGGTAAATCATGGAAGAGCCTGATAGTATTTGTGTTGTTGTCCAGTGCATAACCTCACCAGTATCATGTGAGCAACCAGGTTGCCCCCTAGAGCCCCAAAGGTGTAGTAGACCAGTGCCTGCAAACATGGAAAAAAAAGTTCAAGAACATGCTCTTCTGTCTTTCATGAAACAACTTAGTACATTTAATGTCTGAATATGTATACCTTTGCTTGACTTGAGTTCACTCCCAATCCAGCAGCATAAAGAAAACCAAGAGCCTGATGTGAGAGGAAAAAATAACACATCAAAAACAGACAGAAAACTAGGGCCATATTTTCTGCAGCAATAAACAAAGTCTGATTATAAACTATTTACTAGGCAGTTACCACAAAACACTGCAAGGCGTGGCTAATATCAACAACAAATTAATGATTCAGAAAAGGCAATTTACATTGCTGCTGACAACTATACACTGAACTCTCCCAAGAGCATCTAAAAACAGTGCTTTTGCTTTCAGTCCCACAGAAAGAATTGATGAGCTCACATACCGTCTGGGCCTTGGGAGATCCCTCGATTTCCAGCTTCTCAAACAGCTCCTTAGCCTGTGGGATGTTCTGCTTCATGTAGTCTCCAAAAAGCATGGCATATGCCACCTTCTCCATGGCCTTTGTGTGGCCCATGTCAGCGGCTTTCATCAGATTGACATACTCCCTTGTGAAAAAGGACAAAGAGAAACCAGCCATCAGGTACTCAACTACATTTCTAGGGGATTTCCATTCTATGAGAAGCTCTTAAAATTCTGAAAATATAAAGTAAAAAGTAATGTAATGTTCTTCAATGACATGGAAGTTCAAATGCATTACACAAAGTTAAAAATACATTTTAAAAAGTTCACACATTGATTTCTGATGTAAGCTGAAGCTGATCAGAATGTCTACAAGAGAACTTATTCAAAGACGCATCTTTGCCAAACATTGTTCGCAAGGGTAGTTTTTTTTTTTTAAAAAAAAAGAAATCCTTCAAGAGCCAAACTCCCTCCTCTAAGAAAAAGCACAGCTGTACACTCACAAACCCTGACCATGTAAAATGTAAAGCTTTACCATTTTCTAGTTATTTCACACAATTCAGTGCTTTGAGGTTATAACAAAGATGAGGTGATAATCATTGAAACTATTCCTTTGTGTACAAATTACAAGACTCCTCACCATGCCAACTAGGTCTAAGAGGACTATCTGTCTCGCTATGAGCTGCCACGAGATCTATTAGGTATTGGCTGAAGACATAGAGATGCTGCTCACTCTTTCTTTTGGCTCTTTTTACTGGTCCCATTGATGATCTTGATGGCCCTCTGGTACAGATCCTCTGCCTCCTGAGCCTTTTGCCTCTGGCTAGCCTGCTCCTCACCTGAGACAAGAAAACAGCCAACACATACACTTATTACTCACACCGATTTAACTTCAGTCTTTATTATTATCAAGTAGCATAAGATGTTTTGACATTTTCTTCAGAAGGTCAATATGCTTTGCAAAGAATCCTATTATGAAACCTATAATCAAGCAAAAAAGTTACAAATTAAACATGTACATTCACAAAAGAACTTTTAGAAACAGAAGTACTTTATTACAATAGCCCATGGCTCAGAAGCTTAATCTAATGCAATGTAATGATTAATCAGATGCAACATGTTCTGTCTTTTTTACTGAAGGTCTATATACAGTCACGTTTTTATTCAAATACAGGTAAGCTGGCCTATCTTAATTAGCTACAGGAGTCATGCATAGTCTAAAAGATGCCTAACTGACTGGATTTGGCAGTTGCATCCCGTGCTTTCATTGCTTGCTCAAGAGCCTTATATAAGGCTACGCAAAGGTGTTTATCGGAGTTTGAGGTTACAAGTCTTCCAATATTGTCTTGTAATGCACTCTGGTTTGTAGTCCTGTTTCTGAAAATGGCCAGTGTTATTTTATTTGAAAGTAATGTATTTCCATTGCTTTGCACTGCAAGAAGCATCTGTTCTCCAGAACTGTCAAAGAAATAAGAAGCTGAAGATTTACTTTCACAGAATCCCCATCTCTTATCTCGGTCGTAGTCGTAGGTGGTAGCACACCAGAGCCGGCCATCCCCTCGGCCCTCTGTAGTGCACTCCGAGTACTCTTTCCCAAGGAAGAGGAATGGGAACAGGCAGGGCTCCCCATCAGCTGTGCCCCCAATCACAGTCTGCACTGCAACAACAAGGAACACACAACAGGGTCTCGCCTGTTTACAGGGCACAGACAGGGCAACTTTAAAGCAAAGAAGGAAACATTCACATTCTGCAGACCTACTGAAAGTGACCTTACAGAGATGACCTGGACAACGGTTCATGAGC